CTGTGTTTCGGTAACCATTAGCAGCTTGGCCATTTCGGTTCGTTCACTTGAGCTAAGGTACTTTTTGACCTCGAATTGTTTTTCCAGTTCAAAAATTTGACGGCCAGTGAAGGTAGTGCGGGCTTTTTTCTTACGGCGCGCATCCGATGAGCCAGAGTCCGAATCATCTTCTGTAGTCTCCAAATTGTTGTTGTTATTACTGCTATGCAGCTGGCCGGTCGTGGTTGCACCTGGAGAGCCATTTGGACCCAGCATCTTGTCTCGCATCAAACTGTCGCTGCTGCCGGTGGGACTGATATCTGGGGGCAGTGCCAATGTGGAGGAGTTCAGCTTTTTCTTTTTAACTGGAGGCTTGGCCGTGCTTTCTGGAGGGCGAAAAAGATATTGCATAATATAATTTATTTCACTATTCATTTTTCAGTTTTAAATTTGCACTCGTGGCCTAACCTCAATTGATTTCTGTTGGCTGTCACATAATGTTTTGAAATTACTGACTGACTGACTGATTGTTATTGTTATTGTTGCGGTTGGTGCTGCCATTTGATTTGAGTAGCGCATTTTAATATGCAAAAAATGTTCGCTACGTTTACGTTTAATTTTCCATACAAAATTACGCTCTTAACATGGCTGCCCTAGTCGAGTACTATGAGTATATGGCTAATCGACAGACGACCGACGACCGCCGACAGCCGACAGCCGACGACCAACGGGCGATACTCAGCGCTAAAACAAGTGTTAACACTATTTGTGGGGCAATCGTGTCGGGCAGTAGCCGGTCGGTCCACTTAGGCATATGCCAAATTCATAGGTAATTGAAACCTAAAACAGCGTTGACTGGTGAGCACCTTGTCGGTTTTGTTGGTCACGAACATCGCTTCAAAATACAGACAATATGCAAAATGCTTTAGCTACTCTCTTAAAAGCTATAAGCTGCAAATGCATAAGGGGTTCAAACCCACTAATATACAATTTCGAAAATATCATTACATTAATATTGCTTAGCTGAGTTTTCAAATGTCTTCAAACAAAAACGTAATCCCTATCACATTCGTTATCAGCCATTCAGTTATTTAGTCCTTGTAGGCGTCTGCTCCTTGGCGAGGATTTGGTGGACACTTTGGCAAAAAAATGAAAAGAACTTGGCCAGGCAAAAATGCAATAGGAACAGTGGCACACCTCCTTTGTTACTGCTAAAATACCGTGTAAAATACCTTACCTCGTATAGTGTTGGCTCATATTCAATACCCGAAAGAAGTAAGACCAACTTGGTCTATGTGGTACCAGCAATCGTTCACCGGTATAACCTTATTAAGAAAATAGCTTAAGGATGTTGGCTACTGGTTTTATTATGGTTGTACACTTTACTGGAAAGTGTTGACTTGTTTTTGCTTGTACAGAAATTCGATGGTGTGTGAATATAAACTATATATACTATATCTAAATTTCATGTAAGTCACAGACGTAGATAATTTTTTAGCCCGTTTTTGCAGTCCCTTTAATATACTTGTACAAGCATTTATTTAATTGGCGAGTTTACGGCTATTAGTATGTGAGTCATTGCTTCTAATGAATTGGATACGATTCTATTATACAATGCGGACTTTAAAGCATAATGACACAACACCCAAGCCAAATAGTTTCGTGAAAGTAAGGTTCCATGTCAATTCAACATTTGTTTAGTTCTAAGTCTCTGTATGTGCTTGCCATTTTGGTTCTGCTGAAGGAAGTCTGGGCTAAGAAGTATGTGATTGATCGTAGCTGTCAGTCTGATGTTTTGCGCTCACGGACAAAAGGAAGGACCATTCTCGGTAGTGCTGTAGCATATATAAATTGTACCTCCAAAACCTTCAGGGCATTTAGAGGCATTTTCCAGTGGATGGATGGAAAGGATAAGGTCACAGATGGGATCATAAATTATCTGGAGTTCTATACGAGCCAAACGCGTGGATTCATTGCGATGATCAACTATGACCACAGCTCAAGATTTGAAGTGAACTTTAATGTGTGGGATGGAATAAGTGCTACAGCTGGAGACGGAGTTGAATGTAGTGCCTTCGGGGACTGTGAGAACTCAGAATTGGGAGAAGGATACAGATGCTTTATTGAAAATTTTAGATTGGTACGCAATGCCATATACTATTTGGATGTTGAGATGGATGGTACCAGTTTAAGGGGGTATGTCTCGGATCCGCAACCTGATCTGAGTAATCGTAATAATATACGCATTCGACGTTCGCTCATTGGCGCTATCAGCATGAACAAGAATCAAGACGAACTACGGCCACATGCGTACTATTATTCAAACTATAAGGAACGTGAATCATGTAGAATTGCCCAGGAGCTGGTTTCGGTGAACTATGCTCCATTGATATACCATTCAGCTAAGCGTGTGGAAACTCAAATCGTAAAAGTTGAGCTTTACGAGTCGCAGTGTGAGGCCCAAAATATTCTTATCGCTATTGGCGAAAATAAGAAATCGGTCATCTATTTGACTCGACCGACAGTCCTAACGCGACCACCTCCCCCGGCACAGTCCTGCTGCAAAATAAATTAAAACGAAAACAATGGTTGAAGTCAATATCTATTTTATATTCACAGTTAAAAATAAAATATTTCTTCTTTCGATTATTATCACCAATACTTTTGGCAGTCACACCATCAAACAGGCTAGTGCTAACTGCCCCCACCTATTTCAGTTCATCCACTATGGTTTTTCCCCCGTTTTTTTGGCAGAAAGTCCAAAAAAAATTTTGCCCAAATATAAAATTTTTTTTTATTTTATTATAAATTGTTTAATTAAGCGAAAATTAAATTAATTCCTGCTGATATGGCAACACCATTTTCTTGGCGCGCAGTCAAAGTTACCTGATTGTGTGAAACACATGTATTTGTGATTTTGGCAGCAATTTTTGGTGAACTTTCAGAGCTTCCAGAATTAAGAAAATAACCCACAAAAGTTAAGTTATATAATGGAAAACGTTAATCAAGGTATGTAAAATTATAATCCAAAACTGTTTTTAAGCGATGAAGTGTGTTCGTGTAATTGTGCCATGTGTTGTTCATGTGGTTTTTTTTAAATTAACCTTTATAAGTTGCGCTGTGTTTCGTGGAATAGTACTTTTGAATGGTAAAGAGTTGCAGAAAGTTATAAATGTGGAAATACTAACTAATATATGTTTATTATGGAATTACTAAAGAACTTTGTCCCAATTAGCACGTTTTCTGTAAAATTGCGTTTGTTGCAGCAAAGCTACTGTTTGGGCATGCAAACATTGTTGACATTTGTAGCAGCAACAAAGACTCAGAATACGCATTTAAGCAGAATATATTACAGAAAATTAATGTAAGCATCTTGAATGAATACAATACTATGTTAATATCGATAAAAGTAAAAACCTTCTCCAATTATATTAAAAAACACATGCCAAGTTGTAATCAAACTTTAAAGCCATTCAAAAAAAACACAAAATGTTTTGCTTTTAACATGATTGTTGATGTTGATGGCGATTTTGAGCCGTGATAGAAAACGCTATAGTCGAGCAATCCCGACAGTGAAATACCCTGTACCCAGACAAACTTCAAGCACTGAGTTATATACGCCTATAGCGGAAGCAAAAAGAAGAAGATGAGGTAGCTTGATGCTGTGCTTGTGGGCGTAGTACTAGAGTGAAATGTTTTCGCTAATAAATTTTCTAAAAATGTAAAATGAAATTTAAAACAAAGATAGATGATTCTACATAAATTACGTGTGCAAAGTTTTGTTTATGTAGCTTTTGAAATGTGGACAGTATTAACGAAACTCTGTGGCCTGGAAGAGGGGGGAGGGGGGAAATCAAAAAAATAAAATAAACTTATATTAAATTATTTATATTTTGTGAACTAAAATATATTGCATGTGAGCAAAATATAGGCCAGTTTCTGGTTCGATACAGTTAAAAATACTTAAGTTAGTGAAAGTCGGCCATATCGGTTATATGGCAGCTATATGAAATAGTGGCCCAAACTGAACCAAACTTGGTATGTCGTCTTGAGGTACCAAAATATGCTTACAAACTAAATTTGGGGTAAATATCTTAATATTTCGAGTTTCTGCCAAAAAAACGGGCAAAAAAACCATAGTGCAATCGTCAGATTTTAAAATTTCTTCGTTGGACAAAAAGTATTATAATATACCAAATACTTTTCCAATGTTAGCTGCAATATAAATTCTTCCTAAACATATTCTGATCATTGTAAATTATGTACCATATAGTGCTGATTTTTTGGCCCGATTGAAAGACGACTTAGATGGGACAACTCTTTAAAAGAAAGAATTTACATATGAAAAGCTTTCCCAGATGCAACGTTTTTCTTACTTTTTTTTTCTTCTTTTGAAATTGGGGTGGAACCTTATTTTATTTAACCATTTTGAAAGTAATAGACTTGAAACAAAAACTGCCCATCACCCACAACTGACTTGCTACTGCAACGAAACCAAGTCAAGCGCAAAGGAGGGGTGTCCGTCCGTAGGCGAAATCAATAAAAATAAAGCAAGTCGAAATGGCAGAATGGCAAAGCGAGAACACAACATCAGGAAGCACTGGTAGCGGCAAAACGAAAGCGAAAAAAGCACAAAAACAAAGACAAATCAACAACAAGAACAGAAACGTTTTTTTTTTTTGTTGCTTGTTTGTCTTTGTGCCAATGTTTTAGCGCCAATTGCCAATTGCCATGTCATTTCATTAAGCCCAGTCGGCAACATTTAAATGTCGTTTGACGAAATGAAACAGAGAACGGCAGCCGAGACAGCGCTCTCACACAACACACATACACACATACACACACACGAACGAAGCAACATTTGTATTTATGGCAGCTGAAAACAAGTAATTAAAGCGCAAATTAACAGCCGCCGCCGACGACGACGACAACAACAACAACAACAAAACCAAAACAGAAAATGAAAACTTGGCGGGGGGATGAGGGAACGAAACGATGACGACGATGACAATTAAGGCGGCGGCAACATTTGGCTGTAATTCATTTTACATACCCGTATGAACAGCATGAACAGCAAACATTATTATTGCCGATATTCGTTTCTTCCTGTTCCCGATTGCTATTCGTGTTTTTAACAACAATAAAAGTCAAATGCAGCATTCATTGAGCTTGCCAAATGGCATCATTTGAGTTAAATGAAAAGCAAAACAAAAACTTTTGCCAAGTTGTCGACTCATTAGATTTGTGCTCAAATACATATGTATGTACTTGTACATGCATACATACATACATGCTATGTGTACGTGCATATTGCCTTTGTTGTTGCTGGCTAGGCTATTAGGTTTCTGTATATTTTAATTGCTAATTGCATTTGTTGTTTTGCAACACTTTAGCATTCGCGCGTTCCCTTCCAACACTTCATCCATCCATCCATCAGCCCTCCGCCATTTCCGTTGTAATTCAATTAAATCATTTTAATGCAGCACATTCAAATTGGCAACAAATTTGCACAAGCAAAAACAACAACAACAACAATAACAACAAAAATATACAGAAAACTGCAGCTAATTAAATGTACGCATTATGCAAGGCAATTACTGCTGGCCAGCTATTGTTGTTGTCGTTTATTTAATTGAATTTCAATGCGCAAATCCATAGAAAATGTTGTAAATTTATTGACTGACTTAATGGCCTACCCAGCCCCAGCCCCAGCTCCAGTCTACCCCTAGTCCCAACCAATTGCCATGATTTAGCCAGCGTGTGTATTTTAAGCATTTTGGTTTAGCATCATTTAACCTGGCAGAACGGAAGCGCTCGTTCGCGTTCGCGCCCACTCCCACTCCCACTCCCACGCACTGGCAAATTAACACGAATAGGCCAAGTGTGGCCAAATGGCCGACGCAAGACGCGGCACAACAGCAGCAAAAAATCGTTTCAGAAGTTATTACTTTGAAACTATTTTATTTAATTGCTTTGTTATATTAGTTGTATTTCCGACTGTTTCATTCATTATTCATTGGAATTTTTATACGCTATGAAACCGTTGTGTCTTTCGAAAGGGTCAAAGGTCAGATTATCAATGCCAATATCGGTTAATACATTTGTATACAATTTATTTATTCAACATATTATTAATTAGGTATGAAAGCTAATATAGCAATATGGAGTCAGGTGGTGGGACTCATTACGAAATAGAATCCTCGAATCATTAACAGAAAATGAAAATAAATTTGTTAGTTACTCTGTTTGCATTACCGAATTTTTTAAAATTTGGGCAAATACTGCATCGACCGACGCGTAGGTCGCAAGGTATTTGGGAAATTTCAACTCCTAAGGGGGGAAAATGGAAAGTTTTTAATACTAATATATATATATATATATATATGAGTACTCAAGTACTCAAGTTTACAAAACTTGGGATTTATTGAGATTTTTTTGCTCATTTTATTCAAGCAAAAAGTTTCTATTACGAATTTCTCTCGATCGATCTCATTTCTGAACATAATTAATGTTATACTACTAGCTTGGCAATTCATCACTTACGAGTATTTCATATCTGAAAATGCAAATTTTTGCAAATATTTTAGCAATGCTTCTACTGGACTGGACTAAGTGATGACGTAAACTATCTATCATCTGACGGCACCAAAAGGCGCGTAACAGTACTTCATGAAATAACAGTACTGTTCACTTACCCTTCTTGGCGGTACTCTTGCCGGGAATTTGGCTGCTGGGTTGTTGCTGAGACTGACTTTTCGGCAACGTTGTCGTCGCCGGGATGGATGAGTTAGTGCAGCTATCGCGTGACTTCTTGGCCACACACAGATTCAATGGCTGATCGAGTGGCGCCATCACCAAGGCTCCTGGCGCCGAGGCGCTAGCATTCAAGTGCATCCCGATGCCACTCTCCTCCTCGCTGGCATCGCTCAGTGAAGCGCTCCGCAGCGTGCGCTGCTCGTGCTGCTGTGCATATTGCTGCTCAAAGTTTCGCAGAATGCTCTTTGGTGATTTTGCGGGGCCTACGGCCATGGACGCAGCGTCCGAGGCATCTTTACTTGCAGTCAGACCACTCGCTGCCTGCAGCTGATGGGCGATGGAGGAGGACGTTTGCTGGGGCCATCCGAGTATGTCGGCTATGGAGTGCGGGGTGGGGCGATTTGGCGGGCGGGCATACACATGTGCATGCCAGGTGGCTGTGGAGCTTGCAGATGTGGTTGTTATGGGATATGGCGTAATGGAGCGACGCGGCTGCGGCTGCGCCTGAGGCTGTGGCGTTGGCGTGGCCGTTTGTCGAGTGGACTCGTACTGAGTGGCGCGTGGCGCTTCCAGTTGTTTTTGCAGAAAAGTTGTCGGTGACCTGCTGGCCGAGAAGGGACTGACGCTCAGTTGCCGCTGCTGTTGTTGTTGTTGCTGACTATTGTTGTCCCGATCGCGCAGTAGATTGGCGAGCTTTTCCTTGCCGCTCGGACTAATGCAATTGGTGCTCATGTTGGCGGCTGGCGGTATGGACAGCGGACTGCTGTAAACATACGAACTGGTCGCCATTTTATATGGAGTAGTAGTGTGAATGTTGCTACTGTTGTTATTATGCTGTTGGTGCAGCTGCTGTTGTTGATCCTTGACTAAAGTCGATGCGGCCGTTTGTGATCCATAAGCCTGCGCCAAGGCGCCGCTGACCATTTCCGCTGCCACCAAAGAATCGCGTTCAGTTTCGGGCATCATTTAGGGCAAACCGAGAATGGGCGAGCTGTAAGAGGAAATAAAACGAAAGGGAACATTAGTATCAATCGTGCCATGCAAATTTCAAACTAAATGCGGCACACAGTATGAAATGAATATATAGGCCTAGCCTTTATATAGTTTCTTGTTTGTTGTAAAGAAATAATTTATAGAATTAGACTTCATGTGTTGAGCCTTTCACTAAAAATATTTCTTAAAGCATTTAATAATTAAATGGTCGCTTAAGGGTAAAAGGTTATTATGAAGATTATGCGATCCCATATCGCATAAATATTGATAATCAGCATGAGAAGACAAATCGATCTAGACATATCCGCACGCTTGGCATTATTTCGGAAACGGCTAAGCCCACATTAAACAAATATGGTACCTGTACCTGTGCTAGCTAAGTTAATTTACCAACCTAGTTGAGGATTGTCAGAAAAAACTTCTCTGCTCGACCCCATGTAATGCAATAAAGTACAGTCAATGCGCCGCCAACCTCCTCAGTGAAATGTAGTTCAGCTTAGCTTCATCGCCCGGTGGTTTACTCCTTCACTTACTTTCAGCCTGTCGCACTCCGCACCCGTCCTTTATCTAACACACGACAGCCCTTGCCTATTTACTGGCGCACGTTACACGCGCCCTGTGCTGTGATTTGCATAACAAAATGTTGCACAACTGTCGGGGTCAGCAGCAACACGAACAACACCAAGAACAGTGACGGCAGCAGCAACAGACGTAACCTCGAAAAAGGATTCTCAGCCAGCCAGGCGTTGCCGTCACATACGTTAGGGGCCACTGCCTTGTAGCCTTGTGTGCGCATTTGTCATAGTGTGTGTGTGCTTGACTTTTGTGAGTGTTGGCATAAATTTATGGCACAACATTTGAGTGTGGCACAATTTAACTTAATTTTCAATGCGAAAGCAACATATACATTTATACATATATTTAGTATATATTAGAATACGTATGTACGTGTATATGCAAAAAGTGAGGCACTTTAAAAGCCACTTTAAGGTTGTTGGAAAAAATCTGAGAATCGTTATTTGTGATGCATTTTACATTTTGGTTGTTAGCTTTGCCTCAATAAATACCCATACTTTTTAAAATATGAATTTGTGAGACTTTTTGCTAAAGCTTGTACAACGTTGTTGTGATATTTTAAAAAGTTTTCTTCGAAACGCCATTGCAGGTTACAAAAACAAACAGTAGAGATTTTAGTATGTATGTATGTAAATATATTGATGAAGGTCTAACCACTTGCGATGCGAAATTTCTTCGTCATTTGTATACGTGTGTCATTTGTATGTATGTGGTGATTTAGATAGGAGGCCACTGTCGATTTTCCATCACTGAGATTTTAGGTATGAGAATGGCGGTAGTCGGCTAAATCACCACAAAGATGCAAGTGAAACTACCAAACTCATCAGTGAACAGGAGGTCCAACTGGTCTTTTTATACAACAAAAACTTAATAATATCAGAAAAAGCCATTCTAGAAGAGCTCCCGTTCATTATGCGATTGGATGATGTACAACACACCTTAATCTCTAAATTAGTTAGCATAATTAAGTTGTTGTTGCTTACTAGTTGGGTGCAATTTTAAACGTAACAAAACACTGCATCGAAAAATAAGAAGTTTGTCCTACTTAGGGGTGCATCAATATTAATTTTGGTGATTCTAACTTTTATACTTTCCGAGATCCTCGCCTTCATACAGACGAATGCATATACGGTTGCTACGCTTCTTTCTGTTTAATTTCACTAAATGAGTATATAGTGCCTGATTATCCTTTGGTTACAGTGTATAACAACCTCTGCGCGCTATAATGTTGGCAACATTTTTCATGGCATTTAAATGTGCCGTTATGTGTCATATTTCATAGCTGACAACCCGAAAAGCAATTTAAATTAATACAAAGTGCAAACTCATTTAAAATCCAACACACGGCACACACACAAATATTCTGACATACAGAAGCACACACGATTTGTAACTCACACATTCACACAAATGACGTCGCAGTCGAAATGTCATTTCAAAGAAGCGCGCGTTTTCCATGGCGCTCAATAACGTAATGCGTACTTAAATGCTTTTTATTGCCAACAACAGCAAAAAAAAGGACGACGACAACAAAAAGATGGCAGCCCTGCCCGCCCACATTCGCTTCACTTCACCTAACAGATTGCGTACAAATTGAGCGCGCAAGTGGCGTGATGCGCTCTCAACATACTACACAACACTCGAATGTTGCTAGCAACATGTTGCCAGGCACAATCACTTAGAGAATCAACAAAACAAAGCGAAACAACAAAATAAGCGTAAAAAAACAACGCCAATTCAACTCAGTTAAGCTTTCGAAAAGGTTACATGGGGGTCGGGTCGGTCGGGCGATGGCTCGGAGAGGACGATGGATGGCGGCGGACGAGGAATGGACACATTCAAGCAGCGGAAGCGAGGCAGGCAAGCGGAAGAAGTTATTTCAATTGCCTGCCCAACTTTGATGGCAGCAATGGAAGGAGAAAACGAGAAGTTGAGTGAGGGTACGGGCGCCCGGGAGGATTGGATTCCGCGCAACGTAAGGCACGTATATTGGCTTAATGTATGTGGGGCCGTGTGGGTGAGTGTCAGTGTGTCGTCTGTATATATGTGTGTGTGTTAGTTACCTGGCACGCTTTTGCCTTGGCCTGCCAACCAAGCGTTGGTGAGCGGGGGGAAGGCGAGCAAGTGTGCCCATTATACGGGGGCAGGCTAATGCCATTTAAGTTTTTGCCCGAGCTTGTCTGCCAACACACTCACGCACACTTCGACACATACTCCTCGTATATAAATACAGTAAGTATAAGTTGCTTTATTGCGAGTTCCTGCATATGTACTTTTTTCCCATAATTAAATGATAAATAAGTTATTCTCGCTATTATATTCCTATTGATAGCATCGAAGACTAATTGTCATTGATTTATTCCCAAAGTAACTCCTTTGTTGAATCCCAAAGATTCTTAAAATTATCTAGATGTTTTTGAGTCTACTTGTAAATTCAAATTTTACTGCTTTGCGTATTTCTTCAATTAAAGCATTAAAGCATATAATCACAATAATTTATAGACGTGCATACACGTATATTTGTACATCAAATTAATCCTTTCCTTTATGATTTTAGCGAGTGTTGCGAGATTTTACTGTACTTCTACACACACACATATTAGTATTGCAGTTTTTTTTAGTACAGACATTGTGTACATTTTGCCTTTGGAACATTTGCCTCCATTATTGTGCTTGAGGCTTAGTCCTTTGCTGGCCAGCCCTCGTACTGTCTCCTTCATTCACACTCCCCTGCGCTCACTTGCTTTGGCTGAGTGCTCCTTACCTATTTTATTTTCATTTTATTGCATTGACAACACATTCCTTGCCGCTTCGGCATGCCATTTACTTATGCCGCCTGTTCGCCTGTCACTGCGCGGTGGTGGGGGCGGCTTGGCATTTTAACAAGCTACTGTCGAATCTTCATCATAGCCTCTACAGTTCCTGTGACCCCTCTGCCCTGGACTTCACATGCCTGCCGGCTGTGCGGCAGCTCCTTTGCTTTTCAGCTTTTGCTGCGTCGTCTCGGGCCATGTGTTAGTTTGACGTTGAACGTGCCCGACTTTAGTCCACGTTACTTTATTATTTTAGTTTTATTTTTTGCGGAGAATCAGCATAATTTAATGTGCTTCGTTTCGTGTGCCAAAGGACATTCGCAGCGTTTCCGTTACATCTATTTCCTATGTATGTTTGTATATACTTGTTGTTGTTGTCAGCCTGGCAGTTAAAGTATAATTCATCATTTATTATACATTTTTCTAGGCCTCTCTTTTTTCATGCAGGGCCAGCAGTTTGAAACCAAATATACTTGTATGTAGTATTTACTAACTAGTATAATGCTTTTGCTTAAATGCTCGTGGAGTCTCACACTGAGCCACAAGCAGTTGGTTAGTTAGCTGCTTTAAAAATAAAAGCTCCGTTTGCCGCAGTCTGCAGTCAAATAAGAAAATAATTTGCACAAAAATTCGACAAAGTCCGTCATAAAATTTAAATCTGAATCAGGTTTGTGTCAATTCACATACTCGGACATACATAAGTATGAACTCAATTGTTCTGTCATCTGATTAAAGCAACTCTAGCTGAATGTCAGACACATACTTGCATAATTTGATAAATTTGTGTGCCAACGTTTTGCCTGTCTGTTCGTAAAATGCCAAGCAATGAGTTGCTCTCCATGACTGATTTTTGGAGAATTTTAACTTAAAAGGGGGAAAAGGGGCTCCAATTCTACCGATCGAAATGAAATGTGCACTCTAAGAAAAATACGATAGAAATTTATGGAATCTGAAATATTGATTCAAATAGCTGTAGGTCCTAGAAAATTCGAGCTCCAAAGCAGGGAAAAGGGGTTTCAAATTTTGTATGAAAAAGCGGAATTTTCAAACTGAGTTACTTGAAACTTAAGGTGGCCTACCCTTGGCCTGATGGATAACTTCCTCTTGTAGCGAGAACACTGTGAGTGATGTCAGTGTGCGATCACAGTCGCTATAGCAGACATTTTTCCGCATCTTTACACCCTTACTAGGATCTCCACGTCTGGACAGCATGCGTCATACTTATTTGTACGGGTATGTATGTTTTTTAATGTCAGACATTGAATAGCAAGTAGCAGTTAAGTTACTTGGAATGCGTCAGGTTTCCGGGTAAATAGGCAGGTAGAACACGAGAATCAGAGTCAGAGTATGGCAGCATCCTGGGGGAGCGTTAATTGATTTTTACGGTGCGTTAATGAATGTTTGCATAATTCCGGCGCGTTCTTTAACGCCTTGGCTGCTGCCGTGACAACGCAAAAATGTTCTACACGTCCTTTGCAGTTGCTAGGGGAGTGTTAGTGTGCACACACAGCAATAAAAACGAGAATAATACACACACACACACAGACACACACACTAAAACACATACATCCTTACGTACACGTACAAGGATGTACAAGCATTCGGGGACGTGTGTCTGCGCTCATATTTCACTTGAAATTACTTGAATATTTTATGAAGTTATGTGCTCGCTAATTAAATTGACGTGCCACTCTGAGGCAAGGCAAGCGGCGTGTGGCGGGCACATTACATGACGATGCAGTATCGACAGCCTTGGTCACACATACCACCACCTGTGCATGTATGTGTGTGTGTGTGTGTGTTTGTGTGTATGTGTTTGTGTATGTTTGCATGCGCGGTAATTTTAATGAATTTACTTTTGTCGTGCGCAAGTTTTTGTTTGCGTTTCCAACTTGTTGGTCGCCTTGCACTTGCACATTTGCAACATTGTTGTTGCCCCTTATTAATTGTCTGAAATATGTGGGGCAGCCGCCTTAAAGCGGCCGCATGCTGTTACAATTTTTGAGAACTTGTGAGTTTTATACTTACATGACATGCCGTCGTAGATAAATTTCTCAATAAGCTCTTTTCAAGTTTCAAAAAACGAAATATTCTCAAAATAAAATACTTTTGCCAGCGCTCGTTAGCATAGAATTCGTTTAACTTTCGACGTGCTCGACAAAACTGAAAATTGAATTATGTAGTCTAAAGTAAAAGTCGACGACAACTTGAATGAAATTTATTCCACTTCAATGACAACAAGGTCGAAGGCATCTGTACACAAAAGTGCGAGAAATACAAAAATAAACTGACCTGCCATAGAACTCGCCTGAATTTCTATTCCTTCCCCATTCCAAGGGTCTGTTTTTTGGTCTGACATCAACTCGATGCGTTCTTCTGGCGACTTTTTTTGATACCCTATATAAAAAGGGTAAAGAGTATACTAGTTTATTGCAAATGTATGCAACACACAGAAAAACCCCCGAAAATATATGTATTTTTTCTTGATCTTGATTTTTTCTTAATTTAAAATAATTAAGTCATAAAAACATATTTATTTCTTGTTTTTGCAGAAGTATGTACTTATGTACTACTCTAGTATTCCATTCTCGTCTGTTGGTAGTTTTTAGTATTTTCGCAGAAAAATAAAATGAATCGTAAATTGAAGAATGAAATGGAGTTGTTGAATTTTTGTTCTAAAATTAGTTAGTGGCCTAATTTAAGGATCACACACAGGCTCTTAAAATTAAAACTGAAAAGTAAATGGAAGCTTGTGAAATAAACAATATATTCAATAACGAATCCGAATAACTCGATGGGAGAATATTTGTTGGTCTTCCGAATAAAAACTTAAAAACGACGGGTTAAATTTAAAACAAGAGAGAACGCTACAGTCGAGCAAGCCCGACAGTGTAATACCCTGTACCCAGGTAAACTTCCGTCACTGAGTTATATGCGCCCATAGCAGCAGCAAAAAGAGGAAGAAGAAGAGCGAACTTGTTGCTGCAGTTTGTGGGGGTTGTACTGTAGAGAATTTGTTTCGCTAATAACTTTTCTCAGAATTGACCGAATTGGATAAAATTTTAAACAACTGTAGACAATTATATATTAATTATGTGTGCAAAGTTTGGTTTAGGTAGCATTTGAAATGTGGACGCTATTGACGAAATTCTGTAGCGGGGGAAGGGGGGGAAAATTAAAAAAAAAAAAAATAAACTCGTCCTTACTCGGACCTAGGAGAATCTGGATGCCAACTTTGGTTATTCTAGCTTTTATAGTTTCTGAGATCCTCGCGTTCATCCAGACGGACAGACGGACAGACGGACGGACAGACGGACGGACAGACGGACGGACATGTCTAGATCGATTTCTCTCGTCATGCTGATTCAGAATATATATACTTTATGGGGTCGGAGATGCTTCCTTCTGTATGTTACATACTTTGCACAAACCTAATATACCCTTTTTACCCTACGGGTACAGGGTATAAAAATAAAAATAAAATAAATGAGGAATGAATGTTCCGGTTAAACAGTTTAGTGTAAGTTAAATGTGGGAGCAAGTTGGTGAGAGTTCTTTGATATACACAAACATTATGTTCATATAAGATCTGCAAAAACACTATTTAGAGAAGTAATGTAAATTCTGAAATTACTTACTCTTCCTCGACTATTTTAATACTCAGATCTAAGTCAATTAAACAGTCGTCAGTCTATTAGGTACTTTGTATATATTTCTTATAATTTGTGCACACAATTAAGTGTTCGATTAGAGAAATCGGTACTCTTCGTTTGTTCTGACAGAAAGCTTAATACCTCTTCCTCTACTATGTGGCCAGTCCTTAATGTTAATTTGCAGTTTTAAAAATATAGCATTAAGAAATGGAAGCGCCGTTAGCATGCAAGTACATACGATTTGATATGTGCGTTTTACTTATTTCGATACACATATAATATGCATGTAAGTGTGTAGATGTGCGTAGCTAAGCACCTACACACGTAGTGGCTGCCTCGAGATGGTCCTGCCACTGCCACTTTTATAAAAGCTGCCAAATCATGAAGGCAGACAAACATTATGAAGCTATTTTGAGTGAAGCATTTAAGCGCTTACTACAATTCCCTGAAGGATGTCTTCAAGTTGTTGGTGTGTGTGCTTTTTCGAGCAGTTATATTTATTTTTTATTTTTATTGACAGCATTATATTTTATTTATTATATTGAATCCATGTCATTGTGCTGCCACGAACAGCCAACGAAACGGGGCGCACTCAATACTCGAACCCCCAGCCTCAGATCCAAAGTGCCCATAGCACGTCCAATAAATGGAATATGTTTGCTGTGTGTGTGTGTTGGTGTGTCTGTGCCATTATTGTCAAGTCAGCATATAAAACAGTCTCGAAGTTTGCAGGGGAGTGCCAAGCTAAGGGAGCAACGTCTACTTTCCTATGTAGTTTGTTCGCTTTAAACGGAAATCGTTATATAAATCAAGGACAGATTATAAATGCTGCGCAATTTTCAAGTTATTTTTGGTTGAAGCCTGGGGTTTGTTTATGAGTGTATATAGTGTGTGTGCGTGTGTGTGTATGTGTGTGTACGTGCGTCAGTGGGTGTTTTTTCTATTTCATGAGAGGGTTGTTATCATGCTGCTTGACATTTGGACAATTTTTATGGAAAAGGTTGAAGCTCAGCTGGAACTAAAGAGGCAAGTGATGGGTAGTTATAGCCTGGCCAAGAGACTCCACAACTCGGCCAGCTCATTAGCAATGTAGGTAGTAGGCGCGAGTGATAATGTCAGCTAATTATATATATTTTTCTAGACACACATTCAGCGCGTGTGGTGAGGGGTGGGAGGGAGTGTGTGCCGGAAATACCGTCAGACTCATTTCCGGTGACAATGCTTCCTGTCATAATTTTTCACAGATTGCTTTTCACATTGATTTTCGTTGCCTGGTGATTCTCAAAAAATCCACAAGTCGAAGCTTTCTTTGCTCTGCCTTAAAGCCAAACGGCCCGGCAATATTTGGGAATAAATTCTTTAACTTGCGTATTTGCGGCAATGTTGCTCCCAGTCGCCATTGTTGTGGCGCTCAAGTTTTGGGGCAGCATTTAGTCATGGCTTATTTCACTTCACTTCAACTTTGTTGTGGGATGGAGTGGTGTGGGCAGAGAACTTCTGTAACATTTTCTCTGTGCGGTCCTGTCGCAAGCATTTTTGAACGATTTTGTTTCCTGCCGTTCCACTTCTTCCTTGGCCATTAGCAGGCGGGCTAAAGTCGTTTGTTTTGCGCAACAATGTGGCGATTTGAATGTGTTTCTTATTTTTGTACTGGCTGTTGGCTTTGTAAGAGACAGACAAACAAGTTGGCGCATTTAACTAGCTGCCTATGATTGATGGTCTTTTAAATGAGTGCATCAACAAAACAAAAACAACAGCAATCATGAAGCTGACGCAAGGTCTGGCGGACCAATTTTTCTGTAATCAACATAATTTGCAGCGATTTAGTCTCCAGCGAAGTTATCGCCACTGTCACCTTCTTTATGGTCCAATTAAGACCATTGATCTGGGCCATTAGGCAGCATCCAGTCTGGGTTGTGTCTTGCTGCTGCTGCTGCCGACAACATCTTTGTTATGCTTTACTTAGTGTGGCTTGGTTTTTGGCATTTATTGGTGTGCAGGTGCCGGTATGGGATTGGCATTGGGCTTTAGAAATTGCAAAGTGTGTCAAAAGGTCGTGCTGTGCTAATTGACTTTTAATTGTGCTGCGCACATGTCGTCATGTCGCCATGTCGTGTGAAACAGTTCACATTGTCGAGATGCCAGTTCGGCGCCCGCCTAATTGCAAAATCAATGCAAACAAATGGCAAAAGTTTTGAGAGAGTGCCATAAATTAGTTATTATACTACTCAGGCAGCCATCAATCAATCATTCAAGACTATTAAGTATGCAATGGGTTTGTTGTAGCAGTTTATGGAAACGTTTTAAAACTTTCTGCTCATAGTCTGACACAAATAATCGTAAGCATACATAGCTCCTGTGACTTTTCACGCCTTTACTTGTCGAATTGAATGAGTTACGGCAAATTTTACGGAGATAAACAATTAATGCATGACTAAAACAGAACATTACGATGCTCGTAGTTCCCTCAGTAGCCTCAACAACCGAAATGGTAGCTTAGGTTTTTAAATTATGTATTTAACAAAGAAAATAAACATTAATTAGAATTGTGAATTGTATTGAGGCAGTAAATGAACAAAATCAGGCAGATTAATTGGAATGCTAAGACGCCATTGGGGCCAGAGGGAGGCGCACTAATACTACTATAGCCTGAACTAGAGAGCACGTCTCTGTGCACCGTCTGTCTGAAATATGAGTCAATTATACTTCCGTACGCATAAATTAATGATTAATTGCAAAATAAATTGACTTGCGTCACTTAATTACGTCGCTCGCGCGCGAGAGCGTGTGTCACGCCCCGTGCAGTGTCTGCCGCATCCGCCGCGCTCCACAACCTACCGCCTGACAGGCTGTCAACGCACACACACACACACACACGCACACGCACACACATACACTCGTCTCTCTGCGCAGCAACGGCAGCGATGACGACAACAACAACGACAATTTCTGCTGTTGACATTCACAGCCAAACATGCTAAATTAATGCCAACGACAACGTTACGTTGCCGTCGCTCAGCGTCTCTCTGCAGCAGGAGGATTTGGAGCAGGAGCAGGAGCAGAAGCGGGAGCAGCAGCAACAATAACGAGAGTATGAAAACATTAACGGCAACATTAACAAAAAGTGCTGCCAAAAATAAACACTCGCAGGCATCATAATAACGATGCATGGCCATGGCAGTCCTTCCTCGGCGGTTTCCGTTAGTTGGAAGGGAGCATCGCAACCTCAAGCTTTCATAATGTGCTTGCATTGTACAAGACAAAGGCACAGTGGTCTACTTGTGAAGATGTAACAACAAAGATGGCCTTCAAAGCCACTTTTCTGTTCCCCACACAATGTACCATTTCGAGATGATTTCCGAACTGTATGCAATATCTTCAAATACAAGTACTTCCTCAAGGCATATGCAAGTGTTTCAAATGTGTTAAATAATATTTAATCTTTTCGGCTAAATTTGAATGAAATTGCTTAATCAACATAAATAGTGAAAAA